CACTAATACCAGAGAAACAAACTATCCACACTAGTACATAATTCTCCTCCTTAGCCTGTTCCTGAATCAAACCACATAAATCAGACCACACAAATACCATAGAAATTCTCCTCTTTTCTTTATATGAAAATGCGAAAAGAATATAATGTTCTCAGAAATTCAATTACAGCCCTAAATTATTCGAATTTAAGCCCTAAAATTGTGAAATTCATAGAAATTCATATACACAAAAGCTCTAATTTCGAATTGACAGAAATTCACAGAAATTATTTTGAATTCACAGAAATTAACAAAAATTGAATTACACACAAAGACCCTATTTTCGAATTCAAGCCCTAAATTAAAAAAAAATCCTAATTTGCGAATTCAAACCCTGATTCACAGAAATTCAATAATTTCAAAGTCAAAGGAATTCACAAAAATTCAATTACACACAAAGACCCTAATTTCGAATTCAAGCCCTAAATTGAAAAAAACCCTAATTTTCGAATTCAACCCCTAAATTGAAAAAAAACCTTAAAATTATAAACAAAGCCCAAAAATCAGAAATTACCCTCGAGCTTGGTAATGTCTTCGTGGGTGTCGAGGAGGACGGTTTGCATGGAGATTTCTTTTTGGAGCCGACATTTCTTTACAGAGATGCGAACGACGAGTGACAGAGAGAGAGACGAAGATGGCGGGCGATGGTGATGAACGGACAGAGAGAGAGAGAGCAGAGATGGCGATGGCGACGAACGAACAGAGAGAGAGAGACAGCAGAGATGGATGGCGACGAGCATTCGAAGAGAGAGAGAGAAAGCAGAGATGGATGGAACAGAGAGAGAGAGAGAGACTTAAAAATAAATTAAGGCAAAAAATAAATGAATAATAAAATCCTTACTTTATATATGAGGAGTGAAATGGAAAGAATAAATTAGGGATAGGGAGTGCAGAAGAAATTTATTAAAGGGGGGACTGAATTGAAAGTTAAAAGTGTAACTAGTTATTTAAGTTGAATTTTCCGTTCAAACTATGCTATTTTTTTTTTTCTTTTTAAATTCAATTGAATCTATACTTATATAATAAGGTGTACCATTTACAAAATTTAGTAAGTTGAAAAGTCAATGCAATAAATGCATTACTATTTTGAGCAACATAATATAATATCATATTTATACTTATATAAAAGGAGATTCTATTTACTACATTTACTATCCAGAAAAGTCAACTGCATTAAATGTCATTACTATTTTGGTATTATATTATTTTACTTATTTAATTGATTTATTTATTTGTTTTATTTTAAAAAGGTAAGTATAATAAAAATAATTTAATAATAAAAAATCAAATACCAAATAAAAATGTACACTTTGACTTATTTGATTATATTGGTATTTGATTATACCAAATATATTCCTATTTAGTATATACATTAAATACTTACTAAAGTATTTATTTGTTTTATTTGTCAAAGTTAAGTATAGATTTGTTTATATTATCAAATCATAAAAAAATATTAAATCCATATTGTAAAAAAAAAAATCATATAATTTTATAACAATTCTACTACACTATTTAACAATATTCCTTTTTTATTATATAATAAAATAATAATTAAATATTATATGGTGAACAACAATAAGTAAAACTGTTACTTTCTCTTATATCAAGAGATAAATTTATATGCTAAAATTAAATTTTTATTAGTATAAATGTTTTAGTGAGATAATATATTAATTATTTTACAAGCTAGCCCTAACATGCTCATATTTAATGTTTTAAAACATGTAGAAAAAAACTTATAATAACTCTATTGTTTTTTAGACTTAAATGTTGATTAAAAGAGGTAAAAATTCTTAATTTTTTAGACTTAAACGTTGATTAACACCATAGATTGAGAGTCTATATTTAGTAAAATTCCTAATTGTAATAAAAAATTTTAATTTTTACTATATTTTAGAATATCTTTAAATTCATTAAAAAAAAAACAAAAACTACAATGAAAAAAGCAAGTCAGCTATATATCGATTTGTTGTACTCCTCAAATCACATTCACAATTTGGCTACAAGGAAAGGAAACTAATTGATTAAAATATTATTTTGTCGGTAGTCTTAATGTACAAGAGACTTTAAGACTCTACTTGAATATTATAAAACTTTTATTGAATATTGTATAATTTTCTTGCGTATTATAAACTTTTATTGAATATTGCATCTTATAATATAATATTCTCCAAATAAATATATCCCGTGCTTCGCACAGGTCACGTACTATATATATCCCGTACATTTTTCTTTATTCATATATATAATTATAAGCCTGGATAAATAGCCTTAAAATTTCTTTATTCATATATATAATTATAAGCCTGGATAAATAGCCTTAAAATTGTGCACCCTGTGCATCGCACGGGCTATGTAGTAAATTCCAAAGTAAGGTCATGGTGGCTTCAGACCTAGCTCCCAACAATTACAAGCCCACCGCCTGCACAATCCAATACCCCCTGAAACCCCTTTTTTCAGCAAAGTCAGTGACAAACAAAACACCAGGTACAAAGGGATGGGAACCCCAGAGACCTCCCGCGAACCCTGCCCAGATCGCATACTCGACGACATCGGCGGCGCCTTCGGCATGGGCGCCGTCGGGGGCTCCGCCTTCCACTTCCTCAAAGGCATCTACAGCTCGCCCAAGGGCGCTCGCCTTGTCGGCGGATCTCAGGCCGTACGCATGAACGCTCCCCGGATCGGCGGAAGCTTCGCCGTCTGGGGTGGCCTCTTCTCCACCTTCGATTGCTCCATGGTTTATCTGAGGCAGAAGGAAGATCCGTGGAATTCCATCATCGCCGGCGCCGCCACCGGCGGATTCCTCCAGATGCGGCAGGGTATGCGCGCCGCCTCGCGCTCGGCTCTCTTTGGCGGCGTGCTGTTGGCGCTAATCGAGGGCGCAGGGATAATGTTGAATAAGGTCATGAGCGCCCAGCAGGAGGCGCCGATTTTCGTCGAGGATCTTCCCGGTGGCGCCCAGGGGATCCCTCAGGAGGCGGCAGCGCCTTCATCTTCGTCGTCATGGTTTGGGGGTTTCTTTGGCAGCCGCAAGGAAGATGAGAGTAAGAGCAGCGGTGGTGGCGTTAAGACGGAGGTTCTGGAGAGCTTTGACTCGCCGATACCACCTACTTTCGAGTTCAAGTGAGAGCTCTCTTTTCTTCATTAATTTGCTGTACTGTTATTTGGTTATCCTTCTTTTCTTTTCTTTTTTAATGAGCGGGTTTGTTGGTCTTATGAAAGTGAAGTTTGTCTTCTCACAGTCTTTAGTTACTGATTATGATGCTGGGATATGGTTGGGAAATTTTGTATAATAATATGAACTGACATGATTTTCATGTGCAATTTTTCGAATATCTGCCATTAGTCATTTAAATTGAAGGGGAAAAATAGGTGCTCGTGAGATGTAGAGAGGTGATTTTAAGTTATGTTGAAAGTTACCTTTACCTTGTTATGGCTACACAAACTGTTGAGAACAGTTCGAAATCGGCCCCAAGACGAACTACCGTAGGGGGTTTATTGAAACCCCACAATTCTGCTATTTACTGGAATCATTTTTTTTTTTCCATTGGGACATCATCAGATTCATCCACATAATGTTTCAGAAAATTTAAATCATGACCATTAGACTCGTGCATTGTGGCCAAGTTGGTCCCTTTCTTGTTGATACCACCACTCTGCTTGTGATGATATAATTCCAATTTCTGAGAAATTTTCTCAAGTTCTATTGAGATGTAATCTCTGCATCCAAATTGAATTAATTTAAAGCTTACTTGTTATAAGATGCTCGAGCTGTAGCATTTGATTCTTGTTAATGTCATTGGCCCTTTTTCATCGTATATGAGAAAGCCATTTGTTTATAGTGCATTATAAGACTTTCATGATGTTGGATATTGACGAATGTGAGCCGATCTCTTCATCCCTGTGAGTTCTGCCTTGTTTATAGTGCACTATAAGCACAACAAAAACATTTTCTTTAATAGATAGGATCTACGGGAAGGTACAAATATACTACACTGAATCTAGTCGAAGCTGATACCCGGAAACTGTTACTGAAAATTCAGAATCTGATACCAGGCCGGAAGATGTTACATATTTAGATTAGAATTCAGAATATATCTAAAGTTACTGAAAATTTGGATCTAATGCAAAGGCTTTTTGGAAAATCTGGATTTGATTTATACTATTTTGTACGGAAAGTATCACAAATGGTCCACTAGTTTGGTAATGGTTTGCCTACGCAAATGATATGCTCTATATTGACCCCTTGCTCCATTATTTTGATATTTTAACCACAAATGGTATAAGATGCTGATCAGGCAGGATTATGCAATTTTTTTTTCTTAATTACTGTAACTACCTCAAAATCTTTCTTATTATCATGGAAATATTATATTTTATTTTTTTATAAGACTAAGTGCGGAACCATAAGTCAAAATTTCTAAATAGAATGCATAGATCTTATAATAAAACAAAGTCTCAAAACACTTGTGGTTGACAAGTCTTAATAATAAACATAACAAAAGAGAACATTATTTCGAAATAAAATCACTAATGTGACACATCCTTTTTCCCAGTACGCCGTCGGTTCCTTCAACTTGAAAAATAGTTTTATATAAAAAAAAGGGTATGCCAAAAGTGCTTAGTGGGGCACTAAAATATTTATAAGAGACATGTACATGAATTTTTGTAAGAATAAATCTCACCTTGATAAATGTGATACCTTGATAAATGTGATGAATGAGGAATGATGAGTATGACGTATGACTTGAAGGAAGGCCTACTTCTCAGTGTAATCCAACTCTACAAGTGTGAAATAGTCTTGAATCAATGCAATTTTTACATATAAAATAGATGAAGGGTTTTAATATTAATTAATAAAATAGATAAATATAAATCTATGTATATATATATTATAAAAAGGTAAAATAAAATAAACAACTAAACACTTTTGGTGGTGTGTGCGTGGGTATATATATAATACATTATATATACATATAATTCTAGTGTGGTGTGTGTGTGCGTGTGCGTACATATATATATATATATATATATATATATATATATATTGTGTAGTATACACATATGTATATGTGATAGATATTGGATACCAATAAAATAAATAAATAATCAAGAAAATTAAGTGGATGTGTGTGCAATGTGCGTGAGGTATCATTTATATTTACACATATCTTTTAACAAATAATATCACGTCCAATCGCTTTGTGGAATGGAGAACTAATTTAGATCTTAGCGAATTGCGAGATTGAACTCCATAAATCTCACTCTTAATTGCCGAGAATAATATAAAATAAATAAACAAAATAAAACAATAGCCCTCATTCAACTTGTTTGCCACCGTACCCAAAGACACACACGCACATGGATCCGACATGGGTGGTCCGGCGGTGGAAGAATAATGGCGTATGGCTGGGGACGTCGTCGAAGAAGAATGATAAACATATTATTGAGAGAAAGAAAGAAAGAAAGAAGATGAGAAAATATATTTACCTCTAGGATGGATTGTGAGTGAAAAGGAGTTATAGGGTGAAGGGTATTTATACTAAATCATTGGGGCCAATTTAAGAAGGTGAAATCCAAAAAAGATTTTTGAAAGATGCATAACTTTGGTATAATATAAATTGAAATCAATCTTGATCCATAAATTGGTCTTCCTAAAATACTTGAAAGGAAGAATTAAAAATTAATAAATAAGTAAAAATGAAAATAAAACAAAAGTTTAGGAAAAAGATAGATAAAGTAAGGAGTTAATATGCGGGTCATTACACTCTAACCCCTTAGAATATTTTCATCCTCGAAAATATTTATTACGTACCATTGGATACGAAAGACGGGTACTTGACACGAATCTCCTCTTCTTTTTCCCATGTTGCCTCTTCTTTCCCATGTCCACTCCACTGAACTTTGATGAGATTTATAATTCCGTTCCTCAAATTTTGCGCCTTTTTGTCTAAAATAGCGATTGGGAATTCCTCGTACGTTAGATCTTCATCGATTGACACAGTAGATTGGTTGACAATGTGGCTTGGATCGTGGACATACTTTCTTAGCATCGACACGTGGAAAACGTCATGCATGGCCGCAAAATCAGGTGGCAAGGCTAAACGGTAAGCCGAGTCCCCAATTCGTTTAAGAATTTCAAAAGATCCAATAAACCTCGGTCGAAGCTTGCCCCTCTTTCCAAAACGAACGACCCCTTTTAAAGGTGCTACCTTCAAAAACAATTTATCTCCAACCTCAAAGTGAACATCCTTTCTAAACTTGTCCGCATAAGACTTTTGTCGATCTTGTGCGATTTTTATCCTTTCACGAATTTTCTTAATTTTCTCTAGCGTCTCCTCGACCAACTCAGGTCCCAACACTCTTCTCTCTCTGACTTCATCATAGTAGAGTGGCGACCTACATCTTCTACCATATAAGGCCTCGTAAGGCGCCATTCCAGTCGTGCTCTGGTAACTATTGTTATAAGCAAACTCGACCAGCAGAAGGAGTGTCTCCCAATCCTTTTTGTGTCGAGAATACAACATATCTTCGAGAATTTGATTCGTCCGCTCAGTTTGGCCGTCTGTTTGCGGATGGCAAGCTTTATTAAACTTTAAATTGGTTCCCATGGCCTTATGTAAACTCTTCCAAAATTTACACGTGAAACGAGTGTCTTGGTCGGACACTATAGATAGCGGAACTCCATGCAATCTCATTATTTCCTTTACATACATATGCGCGAATTGATCCATCTTCATTGTCATCTTCACCGGTAGAAAATGAGCAGACTTTGTCATCGGATCAACAATGACCCATATTGCCGTGTTTCCCCTACGTGTCAGAGGTAAGCCAACTACAAAGTCCATCGAAATATGTTCCCACTTTCATTCTGGGATCTCTAGGGGTTTTAGTGGCCCAGATGGTCTTTGGTGCTCCGCCTTAACCTGTTGACAGGTTAGACAATTCTCGAGGAATTTACCTATGTCGGCCTTCATCCCTTTCCACCAAAACATCTTCTTAAGTCTTGGTACATCTTGGTGCCGCCTAGATGGGCCGTATAGGGTGTGCTATGGGCTTCAATTAGGATTTCTCGCCTTACACTTTCGTCTTGAGGAATACATAGCCTTCCCTTGAAGGTTAAGATTCCATCCTTCGACATGTCGAATCCCATACTATCGTCAGAAATCGATAGTTCCTTCATTCTCGAAATGAATTCATCATGGGGTTGAGCTTCCTGAATCCTCTCATTTAAAGTTGATTGACCATTAGTGCAGACAACACTGATTTCGTGTTTTTCGATGGTCTAAGTACTTCAATACTCAAACGTGCAAAATCTTGAGCTAGATGTTCTTGGAGGGGGTGCAAACTTCCTAGCTCTCCCTTTGATTTACGACTTAAGGCATCCGCCACCACATTCGCCTTGCCTGGGTGATATTGGATGGTACAATCGTAATCCTTTACTAATTCTATCCATCTTCTTTGCCTCATGTTCAACTTCTTCTGAGTGAACAAGTATTTCAAACTCTTATGGTCCGTAAAGATATCACACTTCCCTCCATAAAGGTAGTGTCGCCAAATCTTCAGGGCATGCACTATAGCTGCAAGTTCCAAGTCGTGTGTGGGATAGTTTAATTCATGTGTTTTCAATTGTCTGGAGGGATAGGCAATAACCTTTCCAGTCTGCATCAAGACACAAGCGATTCCTTGCTTGGAGGCATCGCTGTATATAACAAATTCCTTGGTAGGATCCGGGAATGTTAAAACAGGCGCAGACGTCGGTTTCTTTTTCAATTCTTGAAAACATGATTCACACTTCTCGTTCCCAGATAATTTCTCCCCTTCTCTAGTCAATCTCGTTATGGGTCCTGTTATGCTTGAAAATCCTTTGATGAAACAGCGATAATATCCAGCTAAACCCAGGAAGC